TAAACATGTCTATATATATATATATATATATATATATATATATAATGAATACGTCTCGACCAGTTGAACACCGATGCTGGCCAACCCTTCTTTCTCTCAGTTATCAGTGACGGACTTTGGGAATGATTAATGCATTCTCTACTGGATAATGTGATGAGCGTGTTGGGAAGCTGCTCAGTGGTGACAGTACCGTTTGATTTGCTGTGCCAATTGTTTGTCACTTGGGTGCACTGCATAAGCCATAGAAAAGAACGTTTATTGCCAGGTCTCCATAATAAACCTATCAGCGGTCGAAGTAGCCGCCGACGCTGCTCGTTAGTAGCATTCTGCGACGTCCTCACTGATTGCCCCATCCTTGCAGCGCAGATACTGCGGTAAAATAGGCTTTAAACTAGCGCGCATAAAGATTTTTCGCATAATAATATAACTGAGGGACATCTTACTTTGTCTCCATCAGAATAGTCCTCGGAAAACATCACTCCTGATTACTACTTCTCACCGAATTCCGTCTTCTTTGAATTTAAGATAAACAAGCTAACCTAAAATTGTAATAGGATTTTACGTGAGGCAATATGTTAGAAGGCGGTGCATTGTCACCCGTATTGCACCTTCCAAAAGGGAGGTGCATTAATTAAGAAACCAATCCGAACACTTTTCGTTTTCGGTTCCAGGAGCATTTGAGTCGTCAAAAAACAGCCATTTTGTTGAGAATCGACTGGTACGTGTTGATAGCAACTTGAAATTGGTAGATATTTTTTAGGTGCGGTCGAATTTGAACATAGCGATGAAAAAGCAAAGTTGCTGAACGAATACATTCTGTACACCGCCTACCCGTGCAAAATGTGTAAAACGGTGAGAGTGTATGAAGTGAATTCAACCCCAAAAATTGCAGTTGATCTCAGGGCTTTGATCAAAGTGATCATTATCATCATCGCCATCGTCATCATCATCATCGCCACCATCAGCACCATCATTGACACCATGACATCAGTGTTCAACACTGATGCTTCACTACCATACAACCATGATTTATCTGAAAGCCTTATTGTAAAGAAAAGAGTAAGGGTGGACGGGAGAGGGACATAGTGCTAGATCATCACAATCATTCCGAGGTGCTTATACCCCCAGACATTCACTCAGGCAATCTGGATATAAACTGACAACAAGAACGCCACTGACATCGGTTGGCAGCCATATCTTGTAGTGTCTCCAACCAGGCACAGTGAGGATCACGCGGTCCCCATCCTGGAAGGCGAGTAGCACTGACAGCACCCAAGCGTTTCGTGATTTCCTTCATACTCCTCCGCCAAGTCAAGGGTTGGCCACCTCTCTGTTTACGCCACTCTGAGTTGGGCCTATAAAACAGTACTCTCTTCGGCAAACGATGGCTAGACATACGCGACACCAATGCACCTTTTGCTGCTGGACACATTCTTCAATGGAAGTACCCGTTGCACAACCGAAAACGCGCTTTCTAAATGCCTCATAACGGATTCGCCGACACCAACCCACACTAGCTATGGTTGTGACAAAACGATTGTCGAACACCTGAAGACGTCTCAGTTCTGTTGCTCGAATCGGCCGAGTCTCACGAAGTTAAAAACAGATGAAGAGAATGGACATTTCTGACGGACACCGCTTTGTGTACGGAAGCTTTTGGAGGTGAAGGTGATCAATCAGGTGATCGACTGAGCGGATCGTCGATATTTTTTTATCTCAGTGAAAGTACGACTGAGGTAGCGGTCCATCGATAGTTATGAAACCCTATCGGTCTCGGTGGTTTAGGCAGAGATGATATTTTCACTCGGCTTGGAAAGCTCAAAGCAGCTTTTGTAAGACTGCATCAACTCCTGTGTAGGTGCGATATCAGCTTATCCGTCAAGGACGAAGTTTGCAATGCTGCGATGTGCTCGTATTACTATACGGGTCAGGAACCTGGCCGCTGCCTGCTGAGGATGTCAAATAAGTTCAAGCATTTGATCTTCACATACACATCACTCTCGTTTGAACAGTCGTCCTCTTGGCGCAATTATTCTGGTGAATCGACCCTAAAGGGGGGAATAATTGGACTCGAGTCTCGCTCTTATCAGAGCTCATCAGCAGTGCGTATAGCTAATGGCCGTGCTGAGGTTTGAACTCCGGACACCTGACATGCGAGGTGAGCGTGTTACCACTAGTCCACCAGCGCACATTGGACGCATCTGAATACTCACGTCTGAACGGGCGAACGTGTTCACGCTCAAACGATGTGATTGGTGTCGGGCATACCAGGAGGATGACTGTTCAAATGGAAGTGATGTGGATGTGAACATACACATCCCGCAAACCCCACAACATGCAATGGCCACTGATGCCTTCCCAAGTCTCTTGAGAACACCAGACGTAGTTTTCTGGATAAATATCTTGCTCACAAAGATGAACGGATCACACCCGATGGGCTGTGCTGGCTTAGTCACGTGCTCGGCATGCAAGTCGAAAGGATTCCTCGAGAACCCCCTTTAGACAATCGCGTTGAAGGTAGAAACAAGCCGGGGGATATCTAGCAATGATTTGACAGCGAAGTATGAAGACAAATACCAGCAAACTCAGCAGCAGTTGTCTTTACCGTCTCGGTGGATGGAGACATCTAGAAGAGACACATCAATAGTCAGGGTCATTCACACCACAGTCGCGCTTTCAGTGTCACCCTCTCGTGAACAGCTTCCCCTCCCAATCTTTCCAATCCATCTCAACCTCACCAGCTCATAGGTGAAGGAAACTTTGACAGCTATAACCACTGTACGTGTATGCGGTTTTGCAGCTGAAGACGGCGATGATGATGTTACAGTTTCAAAAAGAAAAAACAACAACCAGAATTTAAGACCTACCGATAAATGAGGTCAATTCGCTTTGGATCAATCAGTTGAGGACGGCCATTGTCATTCCAGGCAGAGACACAGAAAAGTGAGGGATCGGAATATAACAGCGGCAGAGTGGCTACGAAATATTCAAAGAAGTCTGGAGCAATATCTAAATCATCTTCGACCACTATGACCACCGAATGATTCACTTCCAGAAACATATAGTCCAGTGCTTTCTTGTAGTGGTGGGCGATCATCTGGTATCCCATTTTCATTTCTTTGTTGGTGTAAATNCATCTGGTATCCCATTTTCATTTCTTTGTAGGTGTAAATTTTTGGAATAAAAAGAAATACAAAAAAGCAAACTCTGTCGGTACTAATCTCGGGTCTGTTTGCTAATACCAAGTTAATTAATAGTTAAGTGTAAATATCCTTTTGTCTACATACTTGTGTTCAAGTGAGAAAAGCCCTAGATGGAAATACAGGGACTGCGCCTACGTGATCAGTCCGAAGAAGGACAAGACTGGTCAAAGGTATCCTCCCCCCTGTGAACACTGTTGAGCCTAGGAAAAACCAGTTTACACTACTCAGCAACATCCTGGGGTGAATTAATTTATTAAACAGGTAATCCTATCGATCGTCAACTTAGTTTCAACAATACCTCTTCTTTAGCGCTAACAAGACAGAGTTCGGCAAAATTCACAAAATACATGATTTCGGAAACGCGGAAGCCAAGTGTTAAGTATAGAATTCCTGTTTAAAAGTAATTTGAAATCCTCTTATGCTGAGGTTTTATGGGATCTATAACCACACTTTCCCCCATCTCGACGGGGATCCCCATGTGAGCCCATAAGGACGTTCTACGATGGTCACAATTTGCTATCAACTTGACCAAGTTTTGACTCAGGATTTGAACCAAAGTTTGATTAGACTGGGGTGAACTAGCTTAATACGATAGGACCAGGTGAGGTGATCACTGTTTCGCTTGCAAAACTCTGAGTACTACAAGCGGTACCCAAGTTGTGAGCCAGACTNTCATCTGGTATCCCATTTTCATTTCTTTGTTGGTGTAAATTTTTGGAATAAAAAGAAATAAAAAAAGCAAAATCTGTCGGTACTCATCTCGGGTCTGTTTGCTAATACCAAGCTAATTATTAGTTAAGTGTAAATATCCTTGTGTCTACAAACTTGTGTCCAAGTGAGAAAAACATTGGATTGAAATACAGCGACTGCGCTTACGTCATCAGTCCCAAGAAGGACGAAACTGGTCACGGGTCTCCTTACCCCTGTGAACACTGTTGGGCCTAGGAAACACCAGTTTACGCCACTCAGCATCTACCTAGGGTGAATTAGTTTGTTAAACATCATAGCTCGATGGGATATAATTCTATCGATCGTCAACTTGGTTTCAACAATACCCCTGCATCCGCGCTAACGAGACGAAATTCACAAAAACATGGTTTCGGAAACACGGAAGCCGTGTTAAGTATAGAATTTCTGCTTAAAAGTTATTTGAAATCCTCCTATGCTGGGGTTCTAGGGGACAAATAACCACACTCTCCCCCCCCTCGACTGGGATCTCCATGTGAGCTTATAACGGCGTACTACGGTGGTCACAATTTGCCATCAAACTGACCAAATTTTGACTCAGGATTTGATTAGACTGGTGTGAACTAGCTCAATACGATAGGACCAGGAACTGGGTATTTTGTGAGATGATCACTGTTTCGCTTGCAAAACTCTTTGAGTACTACAAGCGGTACCCAAGTTGTGAGCCAGACTCTCATCTACCAAGAAGAACTGTGTTTTCCACATCATACTCGGAGTCACACAAACCAAGAAGCATGACGTAGCAGGGAGGAGTGAAAAAGGAAAATAGAAAATCCGGTTACTTTCAATGTCTTCTGTCTTTCAGGATGAGCCCGAAATGATCTTCAATATACTTGACTGGAGACACTGCAAGAGATGGCTGTTGACCGATATCGTTGGCTTTTGTGCTGTCAGTTTCTATCTAAATGGTTTGAGTGCGTCTGTGTCGATTTAGTTCCCTTCAGAGTTTATGGTGGACTATTTTGCTTTCTTTTCTCTGTTACGGGAATCCAACTAAATAAGTTATCATGGTTTTACGTTAACAGCGCTCTCCAGCTGGCTTCAATCACTGATAATGGCGACTATGATTGTGTTATATCCATTCTAAAGAGTGAACTCTACTCAAAAGAAGTCAGACAAATCATTTTCCTGTATTTATTCCAAAAAAAAACAAACTAATGGCTCCAGCTTCTATTGGATTTTCGCTTATTATCATAATTTGAAGATACTGACTGTTATTTGGAACCTGGAGACAATCACCTAGCTTTACTTCCCGCCTAACATTCCTCTCTGCTTCGGTTTCAGCAGAGAGGATTTCGGCGGTTTGAAAAATCCCGACAGAATGTAAAAATTCCATTTGTTTGCAACCAAGTGCGATAGGTTTCCGTTAATCCAATGAGCGTCGATAAACTTCTGTGCACGATCAGCTTCAAAGATGTTTCTACTGGGTGAATACAATCGTATAAGCCGTAGAGTACCGGTATTCACGATCTCTTGGAGAGCGACTCAACCTATCAATCATATCAGCCTTAACTTCGTAACTTTCGTTGCATTTGCTCTGAAGATAATTATAATACGAAGCATCCATGCACGTAGCTCATCACCAAGATCCAATACCCAGATTCTGGTAAGTTTGATTCTATTTGGAGTTCAAATGGAGTATAAGTTTGATTGAAACTCCAGGAATCCGCCCCGCCTGATGAGCTCCAAGAAGGGCAAAACCGGTTGTGGATTGTCGAAGAGTTGCTAGCAACTTTGTGAGCAGTGATCCCTCAGGAAGATATACTGCGATATCTAGAATATCGCACCAACTGAAACAAGAGGTAGATTTTGCGTAGCATATTCAGTTGTAGAAGGGTTTCCCGGAAATGTGCTCAACAATTTCGTACAGTTTGATTTGAGCAGAACGGAAAGGTGATGGAAACTTGTAGACTGTGCCCGAAACGGTAAGCTAAGCTTAACGTGTGTACAAACAGTACACTCAACCCTCAGCGGATGATCTCATCAGCAGTTCAAAAAGGGGCGGAAATACGATCGCTGTGCTCCATATTGAAGGCAGCTGTATTCTAATTTATACTTCATTTGTATTTTCTCAGTTACCTGTTATGTAAAATGAAGTACATTTCAGCGGACCACAATAATACAGATTGTTCCACAGTCCGTTGTCGGAAAACAATAACCGTGTAGCTCGACAGGTTCGTAGGTGTTAGGCGACTTGGTCTCGTGTACTGCATAAACGAGTATTCGATACGGTCCCCGTGAATTTTTCTGTCGTGGGTAAAAGCCGGCGTTTTGTCAAATAAAGCTATGCGTTGAACATTTAGGTCACTCGAGCAAAACAGTATCTGATGGCTTCAGTACACCAGGACATCAAAGCCCGTCTGAATAAGCAGTTAATCTGGAGCTGTTCATCATTACAGTAAGCACCAATAAGTTATTCAAGATGACACTATGCAGTATTGCGCGTGGAACATAGTACACTGCTGGCTCCAATTAGAATTGCCGTCATTTTAGGGACAACAGAACCCTGACACCTGTGATTAATCTCCATGTTAGCAGTGCCCACTTTTGAAAACAAACAATTGAAGTAATTCACGGTATCAAAACTCTGCATTCTAAAGTGCGCAATTTCAAGAATTGACTGAATGACTTAAAAAAGATAGACTTTGTCAAAATGTTACTTTATGTCGCCAGTTTTAATAAAGAATCTGAGTCATCTACGAAACATCCTGGTGTTATTTTCTATTGTATCAGTGGCCCTTACTTCTCACAGGTTTATCAGCTTCCTACAGATTTATGAGCTCAAACAGTTTAGTGGTTAATGCAAGAACCTACTAACCGGAAGATACGTCCCTCGAATCCAACCCCGGTATCGCGACTGCTCATGCCAAGGCGTGGGAAACCTAGCAGTTTATCAGCCCTTTGCCTCCTTAGGTGCCGTGGCAGCTAGACTTCAGAGGAACTTTACGACTAAGTGAAAATTACTTCTTTTCAACCATAAGGAACTTTTTTGTCCAGCCAAATGTTTCTTAATAACAGGGCTAGCCAATTAGGATATTCGGTTGATTGTCACAATGTGGTGATCATCAGGAAACTCTGGGCAATTTTTCAGGAGGATTATCATTCCAGTTGTAATAGGATAGTCAATAACAGTAGCGAATCTCAGACGTGAAGTAAAATATCAATTCACTACTTTCTTAGCAAACATCTGGACAGGTGGAGCTGTCAGTCGGGTGGATTTAGTGAAGACGGATGAACGAATATGGGGAACAGCCAAACAAGAACAACGTACTAGCAATAAAAGAGACTGCATAATATCAGGTTCTCCAACCTGGTCTATAACTGCTTATACTGCTTTCTTTGTAAGATGGTTTATTGATTTTTTCAGACAAGTGGGCCTTAACTTCGTGAAGGGAACTATTCACAAGGTTGCTGAAAAATCTCAACTTGTTTACACCTTTGCAACGTGCCTATCAAAAAGCAGTGGTTAGTATTTTGCTCTCCTAACGTCATCCACATGGATGGAAAACTCTCAATCTTCTATTATTGACAGTACAAAATGGGCAGTCAGAAGACAACCCCTTACAGTTTCTTTTGTTTTAAGTTGAGGAAGTTGGCGCAGTAGGTGAGCAGGGGAGTGGAAGCTCCAACATCTGGAGCCGGTTATTATACGATTCACTGAATCATTGACAACAGAATAGGAGACAAGTAGATAAGATGACGGGAGGGATATCGGGTAGTTTTCAGTCAGATAATTTAATTTACAACTGTACATCACCTGATCGTTGGTTGCTCATGTACCGGATAGTTGCAAAGATGCACAGGCAAATGACCCGGTAGACCTTCGACGTTTCGGCACAAAAGTGTAGAGCTAGTGTTACAACGAGAATTAATCGAAGCTGGTGCAGTGACGGTAACCTCAAGATGTATGTCACTAGAAGACTTTATCAGTCTCGAAATGCTGAAATTGAGCGATCAACAACTGAAGAATGATGTGGCGGATTTTTAAAGGCTACGATTGTAGCAAGAAACCATCCAGGTAGCCCCATCATCATAGAGGACAACATCATTGTTGACACTAATGCACCTATATCTATGGCCTCCAAACGAGGCTGTGTCAAGTGTTGGATTACACTCATCAACATGCCATCAGTGCAGGTTGGAATCACGCGTTACCACGTCCGAACTGCTGGACTGCTTACGTTTGAGCAGCGTGATTGATTGGTCCGGTGCAGTTTTCGACAACAGGTCGAACAGAGTAGCAGTCCATCCTTGTCGCCACTAATGAATAATTAGCATATCTGGCATTCCAAACTCACACACATTCATTAGTGGAATCTCATGTTGAGTCCCGGGGACTATGACGCTGTTCATTTTAACTAAGCACCAAAATGAATTTCTGGTCGAGTAAGTGCAATAGAGAGATTGCGGGTTTGAATCTCTCCGGAGGATCGTAAGCCTCGCACGGCTTGTAGCCCCCAATGAGGATGAAAAAGCTATAGGGTGGTTCTAAGCCTTTCGGCATATTTTGACTTCATTTGCATAACGAAAGTTAGACTGAAACTTTCCAAAATCTCTTAATACTATCAACGAAATTTGAAACTGTATTGGTATCCATGGAGATACTTTAATGTGAATGGACTATGGTCAGCCTAGTGTGTAAGGCTCTCATTTACACACCATAAAGCTTGCAACCGACGTCAGCAACCGCGAAAACATGCAACCCAACTTACTTGTTATATTTTGTGGTCTCATTGGCGGCATTTCAAATTTGATGAGAGATATTTTTGAGCCGTAGGATGCCAAAACGTTGGCAGTGGGTTGGTGTGGACAACCCTGAGAAACGGTGATAGGGAAACTTGCGGACTTGGGCGAAATGAGATTTGTTCGATATTTCAAAAGAGCATCCAGGGTTCTTTTGACACTTGTACGTTTGCACGCAATTACCAGAACAGGAATTGACTGGGTGAAGTTTACGGTTGCCGTGTCACTTGATTCGAATAGAACCTGTGTGGTACAAGTAAACATGGATCATGCATTTGACTCGGCTGGCTGTATGAATGATTTATAAATGGCTCTACCACAGCAAGGTAAGATTGGCCACAAATTTCAGCTGTTCACTCAAATCGGGTTGTAGCGCTGAAGTCTCAACAAAGCGAAAGGATGGTTGTGTCCTAGGCGGTTTATAACCCTGAACAACCATCCTGGTTCAATCCCTCGGCCGACACCCAACAGAGATTTAGCTTGACTTAGTTGATTGGTTCTCCTTCCGCCTTAAATCTCGACCAAACTCGGAACCTAGTCACTTGGCCTGACGAAGCTTTTGTGTCAAAAGCGGAACATTGCCCAGCAATAAATCTACCGATTGTCACCAAACTTTTTCAAAAACCATCCTGGTTCTTTGCACTCGTTGGACTCTAGCAAGTGGTGAGCAATTTAGCTAGATGGAAACATTGATCTACTTTGTTGCATTAAATGGGATAACCAAAGTATGCTGATTTTCGTCATGTCTAGATGAGCACTGCTAAATACTGTGCCTTGGAGGCTGCTTCGAATGCTCACTTCAATACGTGCTATACTCATGTGCCATTGTGGTCTGCACTGAATGACAAACTGGTGAGAATTGTTTTTACGGTCACCATCTGGTTCCTACTTTTATTCATACTTTTTGATGAAGTAGCTCGGATTATGGCAATCCCCACAGAAACGATAACTCACATAAGCCAGGCTGTTTGACTTCCTCTTGCAGTGCACTTGCGGCAACTGGACTTTGGGAGGATTTCTAGCCACTTCCTAGAGAATCCAGAAATCTATTTTTTAACTTTCATCCAGTTTAATTGCTCGTCACTTAGTGGATAGCGGCAAATGCAAGGAACCAATGCAGGCGTCCACAGCTACGAACACCTACGCTCTGCTGAAGCACAGACCACTAGATGTCATAAATTCAACTTGTGCAAATGAATGGGCTTGGTGATCGGTCTTTATCAGTTGTTTATCTTGGGAAATCTTACATGGTGAAAAAATGCAGAATTTTCAAGCCAAGAAGTTCCGATATTAAGCAGAAGGAGAAGAAAGTCATTTTAAAAAGACTCATCTCAACATGACTTGGTGAAAATTAAGGCTTGTCTTCATGGGGAGTGAAGATGTCCCAACGGTGGCATGGAACATCTGGCTCGATACCTGAAAGGTCTTGAGTGTGTCCGTAGTTTTCTAGCAGTACATGTTAAAATCCCTGTCAAATTCCATGATTCATAAGATGTTATCTCAGCATCGAACAAACGAATAAGACGAGTCGATGAAATGTTTAACGGTGACCACAGTCCTACTGGTTCCAACCTGTCTGACTGAAACCTTAAACAAACTGTCGTCCACATAGAGCTGAGTGATGACTTAAAAGCTTACTGGAATTGGCATGGTTCTACTGCCAGGATTCCTTTTGTGACTGTATGAATGCATGCCAATGGATCATACAGTGGCTTACTTCTAAGCCTTCTAAATAGAAGCACTCACATGGTGAAGTGACTGTACCGCAAGCTAGAAGATACTGGTGAGAAGCGTGAGCCTCGTCTAGACCGGTGGGAATTAAATACCGAGTAAATGCGTGCAGGCCATTGAATCTGCACTTAATATCGGGCTCGGTGGTAAGCATAGCTTGGATTTGAACGGTTGTGTAAAACTTAGGCCGAAATCTTTACCATACTTCACAATTTGCTTACAAAAAACAGATAGTTACTTGGGCAGATTCTACAAGTGCGTCGCATAACCAGTCCAGTGTGAACGCAAATGAGCACTGTAGGCACACAACAATTTAGACTTTACAACCATACAGTGAAACCCCTCTCGTTTTCAGAACAACATTTTCTGGTTTTAATCTTTTGCTCGAAACTGCATGACATGCCATCCTTTGTGTTATAACTATAGCGATGTATAACCTCGATATCTTTATTTGCCAGCCCTGTGCACTTATAAGGTCACTTATAAGGTCTACAATAAGTAAGCTGGCAGTAGTTCCAAATAAAGAACAAAGAATATATATATATATATATATATATATATATATATATATAACAGAGTTTCATTCATTGTTGTTGATTAACACCTTCATTACCCTGAGAGCTGATGAAGATGCGCTGAAGATTAGCTCTAATGGGGAATTTCCAGATGGATCGGGGTGTGACACCCCCTTTATCTTCACCTGAATATGCATAATTAGGTAAATCGTCTGAAGAGGCTCCGAGTTGCCAGTACACAACGCCAAACAGGTAAACGTAACCGGTTGCACACGAATACATACATTATACATAGTCAGTATGAATGCCACACTTTGTCCGTCATTGAACTGACCGATAAATTTAGTGGTTGACCAGATGTGATGTCCTGTGTTAGATACTCGGAAACCCCCCCATGGAGTTCGGGTGCAAGCTAAGCCAGGTTGACAAACAGTTCACAACAGTCTTATGAAAACAATGACACAGCATAATTCATGCCGTAGCTAAAAACAGTCATTTTGATCAACAACACATCTGTCTCATGGCAAATTTATTCCAGCCTCACCGAAGGCTAGAAAGACCATTAAACTGATTTCAAGCAACCAAAAACCGAGTGATTAGCATTGCCATCTTAACGGACTGAACTCTCTGAGAAGCATCGGCAAAAATGCGGGAAATATAAGCACTTAAGGAAGAGGTTTTCACTTTGATTCACAAAGTTTGTGAGAGTTATCTTTCCAGAAAAAAGTCATTTGGTTTCACGTTCAAGTACATTCGAAAACACCCGAATTCAGAAAGACAGATGTCCAGTTGGTCGAAACTACACGAGGTGGACCACTCACGGAAACAAACAGATCACGACAACCAAAAAAACCAGGCGAATAACCGGGGTAACAAACTCCCTGGTAAGTTAAAATCACAAAAATAAATGAGAGATAGCATAAGCTGATTCTGTATCCTATGTTCTTGGCTGTCCATAGTCTACATTTAGCCAACCGATCCCTAGCTAGAATCTGTTGTTACCCACACACATCCCAAGTCTGACTTCATATGTTCTGGAGGACTCACAAAAATCCATCCAATGCAGGGAGAATGTATTCATCGTAGAAAAGATCATCGCGGAACAATCCATTTGTTTTTGTTTTCAAAATGCTACCAATGGCGGGCGCATCAGTGAAGACGTGGTGCGGAAAACACCATCAAAAATTAGTCTTTCGTAATAAAAAAAATTGTCTCAAAGTTTCAACCAAGTTGTAAATTCACATGCCCAGAAATATGCACTCCTAACAGAAACATTGGATCCAAGCTGAAGACTTTTTCAGTCAACTAACCGGAACATCTGAATTCGTATTCCTGACGTTATCCGAAGTGGAAGTCTGATGCTGGATCGATGGATGTCTCTTCCAAAGTAGCAAAATCAGTACACACACGGAGAGTAATATTGACCACACAGAAGCGCGAATCATCTTATTTCGTTTCAAAAACGGGGGACGAAACGGTGCAGCAGACAGCCAGCCCAGAAATAAAGAGTACCTCCACATTGAGGGGAATCCACCGAGCATTTGAAGTCCAATCTGGAAATCAGTATGGAAAAATTTCATGCAAATGCTCGTGGTGAGGGAAAGTGCAGGAACGATTCTTGTGTAATTGGCTTAACAAGCAGAGTACTCTTAAACAAAAGAACTCAAGGCCGAACATAAATCCCACGGATTAAACCACCAAGCACAGCAAATGGTGAAACGATGAACAAAGAGTCCCTGTTTATGAGGGAAACTGCAGGAACGATTCTTCTGTAATTGGCTTAACAAGCATAGTACTCTTAAACAAAAGAACTCAAGGCCAAACATAAATCCCACGGACTAAATCAGCAAGCATAGCAAACGGTGAAACGATGAACAAAGAGTCCCTGTTTCTATCTGGTCTACCACTTATGCCAGAGAATTTTCGTCGAGTGTTAGCTAGCTAATCATTATTCGTAGAATAAAACATTCTTCTCGTTGATTTCATTCTGTTATCACATCCCTGTTGTTCCTCCGCAAGAATTTGAGATGTTGAATGTGCTACTGTAACCAACCGGCTGACCTGAAAGAACAGCTCGGCTAATTTAATCAACAATCGACAAAATCAAACGTGAAAAAAAGTTTCAAAATAAACCAACTGCTCGAGCGGTGAGTATAACACTACCTTGTTTGGCAAAATCATGCAACGATGACGTGAAGCGTTCCCTTTGTGTGACACTTATACTTTCCAAGTGGAAATTAATCGATTCGGGGCCGAACGGTACAGCTATTCCATATCTACTTTGCTCCTAGGCTTCATCATCATCATCATCATCATCATCATCGATAACATGACATCAGTGTTCAACACCGATGCTTCACTGCCGTACAACCACGATTCATTTTAAAACCTTGTTGTAGAGAAAAGAATAAAAATGGACTGGGAAGGGATTTAGTACTAGGTAACCACAATCATTCTCAGGTACCTATACCTTCAGACATTCATTCAGGCAATCTGGATAGAAACTGCCAGTAAACACTAGTCTTCAAGAAGAAACTCGGACTGAAAGCAGACCAGCCGGGTCATATTGAGTGGGGGCATGAATGAGGCGGGGAAATTTGGGAAAACTGCCCATTCGGATTGTGCTCAAACTAATTTCGCGGCTATATGCGTGGCTGTATAATGCGTTAGGCATACTGAGCTATTTTCTGTCGATAAGATAGTTTTTTGCCTTATTCGGATTAGCGAAGTGGTGGACGGAAATTGATATAGCGAAATGGAATCAGGGGTGTTAAAAAGTTTGGGTTACGTTGATGCTGTTCACATTCCAAGATGGGGTACATTCGACCCTCCCTGTGCCTGGATGAAGACACTGAACGCTATGGTGGCCATCTGATGTCTGTCGCTTCGACGTTTCAAAGGTGTCGATTCAAAGTTGGAAGTTATGTGGGGATTTTTTCCTGGGCAAAATATTCAGCATTTGTATGTCGTACTATCCGAATAGTTTAAGCAGCTGATTCCAGATGATAGGAGCTTGGAATGCTGAGCCGACAGAGGGATACGAACTAGATACACTTCGAACGGAGCCTAGTTACTGGGTACTATCCACAGGTTAGCAGTGGGACGATCATGAAGATAATAAGTGGATAATAGTGGACGCAATCGGCTACTTCGAGAGATTTCTCGAAGCGACCCCCACGCTATGGGGTGAGAAAGCATCCCCAGACCTTAGGACGTCGTGTGACTGAGTAGTGGTCGGGAGATATTTGGAGTTGAGGGAACTTCTCGTTAGTTTTGATATCACGTCAATAAGCACAAACGTCTGCTTGACGAACGCTTTACAATTGACTGTCTGTTGCCGGCAGAACGAATTCAATGTTCCGTGAATGAAGCAGTGTGAGATATTAAAATATGACGCTGAAATCGTAATTGTTGGTTTTCGTGTCAGTAGTTTACCCATAAGAACGCAGGTTCAAGATTGGGGTATGCTTACATGTACCATCTTGCCAGAGTTGTTCAAAGGTTTGTGACAACAAACAGGAATATTCCCACGTTTTGGGCCATATTCACAGGACCGGAGGATAGTCCACAAGCGGATGTACAGTTTGCATTCACATGTCCTAACCGTCAGTGACAAACAGGCATGCTCAGAAAACCATCCTGTAACCTGACCGTGTTTGAAGACCTTAATGGGTATTTAATGGGGTACTTCTCCCCAGGTAAGTCTTTTTGGCCAGGCTGAAGAAGGACACAACTAGCTGAAGCTCAAGTAATGCAATGGCAAGGTGTGTGAAAAGCATACTCATCCAGACACGTCGTCAATCGAGATTAAGCAACTCAATCTAAACATAGCCGTATATAGGCATCAATCGTTTGAGCTCAGATATCCACTTTGCTGATGGTCGTTGAATTCGCTCCAGCTGCGGTCTTTAGTACATGCGGTCTTCTTCAGTACATGGAAAGTAGGCTGAGGCACTGTACTTTACCGTCAGTCGTGGTAATTCTGATTAAGGGCGGGGTGGATCGACAGCGGACACTAAACATAAGATAGACCTCGTTTTCAGAAAAGTTTGGTAACAGCCAGTAATTAGCAAACTTTTCCGAAAACGATTACCACTCAATCAGTTCCAAGCGTTTTTCAAATGATTGAATAAAATGGCTCTCATATACTACCCGATGCAAATCTCAAAGTCGAATGCCATGTCCGTCGAAGGAACTGTAGTTCCAGAAATAACGTGGAGTGTGGAATTATGGGTTTTTCAAATGAATGGGTGCCAACATTTGGTCCGGGTAGCAGGTAATTCAGTCCACGTTTCCGAGCCTCCTCCATAGTTCAGGAATCCATCAAAGCGCTTCACATCAGACATTGTTTTGAACAGACGTCATTCGTGGTGTGTCCCGAGAAGTTCACATAAGCACTGACGAGCACCCTCAAGAGGCTGTCTATTGAAGAAGGATCGGAAGGAAGACCACTGTCTCACACCGTTTGATGGTGTCTCAGTGAGTGCTTTATGACCCAATTAACCCGGTGGTTTGGCAGTCGCACTTCATCAAACGTCACCAGCTAAGTCTTTCGTCCTCACGCATAAGAAATATGTTTGTATAAAGTGACTGGGAAGCCAAAAAAATCCATCTCGTTACAGTGTGTTTGAAGTTGACGTTTAACTAAAAGCCGAAACCTTCTTTTCATCGCTGATGTGATAAAGACCAACACCTGACTGCTCGGTTGATGTTCAAGCTCTCTACTGTGAGAAGGCCTGGTAAGACCTCCTTTGAACCTTGCGGGAGAACCTAGCTGTTACAGGACGGATGAATATCGTAATAAGCAGGAANCCAATAACAAAAACGGGTCATCCGAAAACCATTTGTTCCATTCGCTTTTCACCCATACGGTTTACTGAAAAGATCGAAAAGCTCTGGCTCCGTATGCTTTCGTTACGAGTATTGTAGTTGCACACTGGTCCGTAAATCACTTGATACCGCGTTTTAAGCAGCGTCGTATAAGAAAAATCTTTTTCTCAATACCATTCTAAGTGAACGGGTTTGGCAGTACATGAGAGTTTCAAAGCCTACAGCCAATGTATGAGCACATCAGATGGGTTTCTGCCTATACTTTATGAACCTGTCTGTGCATTGGAACGTCTTTACGCCCTCTTCATTAAGTGGCAGCCGTTACTTGTATGTGCGTGCTTCTCCCAATCACCTTGCTTGAAATGCGCTCTATGCGCGTCGTTAATATCCTTAACAGAAGACTTGAATTATGGTCTTAAGCACTTTTGTAGACAGAACGCAAGGAAGTTAACTTCCGCCACCCGTGTCACAAAGTCCAAGTACCACTGATTTCTGAGACGTCGGATACTCTAATAATTCTGTGCAGCGTGGGTTCAGAGAATTTCTTCTCCGTTCCAGCCCCATACGGCAAGGTGAAGGAATCTGTTGTTTACAGCTAACCGCCATAAAGCTGAGTAGGCTATCTGGAAAGAACGCTAGGCCACTGCCATAAAAAGGTGCTATACTTTAAGGTGTATATCATCATCATCATCATCACCATCATCATCATCATCATCACCATCACCATCATCATCATCATCACCATCATCATCATCATCATCATTATCATCGTCGTCATCATCATTATCATCATTATCATTATCATCATCATCANTCATCATCATCATCATCATCATCATCATCATCATCATCATCATCATCATCATCATCACCAACGATGTCAAACTGCATATGTTGAAAAACTGACAGCACTGAAGTTTGGAATCTTCAGGTAACGGGGAAAAGACACAGTGGATTCTGGCAAATTAATACTATACAACTGAAAAGATTAGCAAATGATAACTGCAAAAGTAGGTGGAACTCAAAACAACTTGACGGTGTACAGTAAATTGCAATAGAACACTGCCTGGACCCAATCGCCTAATAATTACACCTCCCCCTGCTTATTGTGATCGCCATGGAGTTATAACTGGTGTTGTTGAGTAAAGGGTGTCTACGAGATTTATACAATCAGTAACAATGCTGATGGCTTCGAGTCTGTCTTCTACCTATTATTTACGCTACTCATGATCAACGTTTCTTCTCAAGGCCTGCTCTTTCTCAGCAATTATTTGCATCAAAGCATTTTAACCGTTTGGAAGGTATTAGAATCTATTTCGCTGTAAAAGTCACATGGGGAACCAAGTAATGGCACTGGAATTTATCAAGTGTTACTGCACTAGGCAGGTGTGGCAATTCACATATAAAGCTGAGGAATCTTCCGTAGTGGTCCACAAAAGCAAGGTGCTTCCTGGAGCCGGCCTAATTTAGTTGAATCAACCTTAGAGTGTAGGAGCACAGTGACCGGAATGTCGGTGTCAAACCCAGCCTCAGCATTTCAATTGCTGATGTATGACCTTGACCAATCTGGCAGTATTTTAGTCGCCGTGCTTCCTCCTGGTGGCATGGCAGCTAGGCACCGAAAAGTTGTTACCGACTGATGATTTTTTGAAGTGGAAATAGCCATCTTGTTGTTTCGATTTCCACTCACCACGAATTAAATGGGACTGCTTGGCAGCCATT